GGTCGGGGCTGGTTAACACTGGTCCCTTACACACTAGACCACCTATAGGTAAGAATGCCAGTCAGGGCTAAAAAAGACATCATCTTGATACACTGAAGTATATACTTTATGGGCTTAAGAATGTGGTCCATCATTTTTTGGAATGAGGCCAGGGCCTTTTAAAGCCAAAAGGGCATACCATGTACTAATACAGCCTATCTGGTGTCACAAAATAAATCTTTATCTGTCGAAGGGAACCAAACATTCAACATCTTGTCCTGCACTGTTGCCTAAAATCAGTGTAGTAGGGTATGTAGCCAAAGATGGCACCACATAAATCTAAAGCATAAATAGCTAGCACTCCTTAAACACTATGTATACAATACATACTTTGTTACATTAGGACCACACTCTGTAAAGTGTGGTCCCTAATGTAACAAAGCTCCCATCCTGGTGCCTGGAGATAACGAATTCCTCCATAAAGGTTCTACACACGAGAAGCCCAGCCAACCTGCCAATACCCTTTAGTAAGACCGAGGGTAATGTACCTTTGCAGCCAACCTTTCTATCAACTCATCCTCCTGGAGCATTGGATGAGCATTCCAACAGCATGCCCCTAATGGGTTCCTCAAAACAAACAGACAGCCTTTTTTGTGTTATGTCAGTCTCTAGACCCAGCTTTTAGCACACACAACTGTACAAAGCCTCCTGGCTCCAGCATCTAGGACTCACTTATTAAATTTCTGAGAAATCAAAATGTTTGTCAGACCAAACTCTGAAGCCCCTCACCATTTGTAAGTGAGAGACACATATACACTGTCCACAATCTTGCCAGCCAGTGCCTCACAATATATAAAGTTTGAAGGCAGTAAAATAAAATTGAAAAAAAGTATAGTTATCCCTCAAGTACACACTACTAATTTCATGATTTGCAATAAAAAAATCTGTTTGGGTAAACATTACAATTGTTTTTGAAAAGTACCCATTAAAAAAACCCTCAAGATTTCCTTTACATAATGAGATTCAGCATAACTTTACTGCTGAGCATGTGACAACATCCAACAGGCTAGAGATCAAAAAGTAATTGCATCTCTAATGATGATGATTTTCTTATTTAAATGTGCGGTACCCTGATGAGTTTTTGCATTATTCTAATTGTCTATTATCCAGTATATCGTATAATTTAGTTGTAGTTTTGATTACTGACCAGGATAACTTTTACAAACTTAGATTTCATGGATGCTTCAAACAGTCGTTCCTTTTGTTGTCTTGAGAAGCGTACGATGCCTTGTCAGTTTACAAATTCTTTCATTTCCTAAGTGGCGGTATTGAACTCCACACAACAGCGTCGTACAGAAAATATAAAATAGCAACTTATTTCTAGTGTTGGAATGTTGGAATTAATTTACTAAATAACCAAACAGAAATAATGCCTCCTCTGCATTTAAACAGTTGTGAAACCCTTAATTATTCCAGGCCTTTGCTGTAGTAATAAGGCAATAGCTAGAGACAGCAGATTGCAATCAGCATTTTAATATTAGAACATCCAAAATAAAAAGGCAGATCCTGTGCCAGTCTTTCATACATAGTGGACTCTTGACACACTTTCCTGGGGGTTTTTTTGGAAGCTTTCGCTGTTTAGAGGAAGTGTTACTGATTTAATTTCTAGCTTCAAGATGTTAAGTGATGTTTGAAATGCTCGATATTGCTTTTGGCACCAACAAGTTATAATTACGCTTTGTATGTCATCTTCCTAGCCTGATACAAACAAGCCAAGAAAAAACTTGATAAATAATGCCATGGTATGTGATTATAATCAATGTTTTATTAACCTGTGTATTCCCTGATGTTTAGTATGGCTATGAGTCAAAACTCGAGAAATGTAGTTAGTTTCTGCTATATAATGTTTTTGCATCTGGTCATGATAAGCATTTGTTTACTTTACGAAAGTTCAATATTTACATGTTTCCTCCTTTCTGGTGTTGTTCATAATTGTGTTTTTTATTCAACGTGTTGAGTTCAAACTGCAGTCCGCAAATGTTTATGTGTCGCTTTTTATCAACTTTGTATGTGCACTTGTTTGTAAAACCCAGGAGAATCATTATCTCGAAAAGTTAGCTAGCCAGGTCTCAGAAGTTGACAGTGGCAATGTACAGTTCTTCAAATTATGACAGTTGTGGCAGTTGATGCAGAGCTATTTAATTTTAAGAAATAAAAGAGTCAGTCATGGTAGGGGAGTCTGAAATGCCTTTGATAGAGCAAAAAAGCATAATAATAATAACATCATAAATACAATATGTTTCTAGGAACCTAATCACATGGCTGGATAAGCCAGTCATAAGAAGCTCTGCTAATCATAGCAGTCTGATGCATTTTAGTGCATGCAGTATAGCCAACCTAGGGTTACGACCCATTCCATATATTCCATTTCTCGTCTCTGACTAGATGAATCATAGGTCCTTAATCCAGATATCACGGAATCTTCAGATTTCGGTTCCTAGTCTGTTTTATTGTGGATGAGTCTTACTCCCCTGGCTTT